GTTCAGGTAAGACAACGCCCCTTCTCTCGCTATGCTGCTGACTTGAAGAAGTCTGTAGAAAGAGAAAATCCTTAGCTCTCAAATTATTCCTTTGTCTTTCTTACTCAGTGAAATCTCTAGAAAGTTTTTATGTTGAATTTTCCCTGTTAGCCACAGAAAGTGCTTTTTTGACCATTTGATGATAATTGTTAGGGCTTTCAGAAATACAAAATGTACTGTGAAGCATATAAGCACACATACTCATATATGGTTCTAATGTTGTCCAGTAATCTGACTTGCTGCAATTAAGGCTAACCAATTAAATATGATATTTCATTTTTCTAGGAAGAACAAAACAGAGGCAAGCCCAATTGGGAACATCTGAATGAAGATTTGCATGTATTAATCACTGTGGAAGATGCTCAAAATAGAGCAGAAATTAAATTGAAGAGGGCTGTGGAAGAAGTAAAAAAATTACTGGTACCTGCAGTAAGTAATATTACTGACATATTGATGTTTGATAGGTGTTCCTTAAGATCATATTATCTTCCATGTGGTATTACATAGTATCTAGTTAAAGGAAATATGTTCAAATACAATGTTTTTCATCTAAATGTAAAAATAAGATTGAATGTAGGCTATCAATTGTTTCGAAAGCAACTTTCTCTGATTTGAAAAGGGTAATATATAACTAGTGCATACTAAGAAGACATATTAATAGATTTATAGTAGAAACAGGAATATTTCAGATAATTTTTACTATTGTCTGGAGAGGTATGAGGTTGTTCAGTTAAATAAAACATCCCATCTCTGTAGTAAGTTACTTTTAAAGTTATAAGACTTAGTTAAACTTGTGGAATTTTCAGAAATAGTTTATAATAAGGAGGGCTATTAAGAAAAAAACAATTTGTTAAGCATGGCGTGACCTATGTACACTCTGTAGTAGTAACTCTTACTAATTACTAGTCTTATCTATTCTATCCAGGTGGGTAGAAAGAGGGTTCATCACATCTCACTAGGTTATATAGTACTATTGACTGTAGCCATAATTTTGAGATTTGATTTCATAATTCACCTAGGAAATATTTTTCTTGTTATAAAATTGTTCTGCTGAACATAAATATCAGAGAAATGTATCAAAGAAGTCAGTGTATTGGTTGTAGTTTATTTATACTATATAAGAAAATAGTTTCTTATATCATTTATGTCCCATAAAAGACCATTTTGGAGATGGGGATATTCATTCCAAGTATGTGCATGAGCAGGATGTCTGGTTATAGGTATTTATAAAGAAAGAAACATGCAGAGGAAGAAAACTAATGTAAAAATATAAGTACAAAATACAAAAATACAATCACAAATTCTGTTTGCTTAATATAGAAAGAAAAGTTCCTTAGAGACCCATATAAAGTTGGAATACGTTTTTCATAAAAACTCATGTTAGAAGGCTTTTTTCTAAAATTGTATCTTAATAGTTGTATGCTATAATAAAATGATCAGAGAGACATAAATATGTCTTTGTTATACCACTGAATTAAATTATGACAAATGCTAGAAGAATGGTACAACTCTTCTTAAAATCAGTTCTGAATACCTTTGCTTGATAATGTTTCAGCCATTGAGAACAATTGAAACTGCATGTAAAGATGCAATTTAGTAAAAATTGAAAGCCGGTTTGATTTAGTGGCCAAGGAGACTATGAGTTCCAATCCTCCCTTAGTCATGAAAACTAGCTAGGTGACTTTGAGACAGCTTATACTATCTCAATCCTATCCATCTCATAGAAAGAGGAATATGAAGTATATACTCCATCTTATGTGGGCCAAAAATAAAAGCAAGATAAAAATCAAATATTAAAAGCAAGTTCATTCTTATCAAGGAAATAGTTTGTATAGAATAGTTTGTTTCCTTAAGACAAGGGTGTCAAACTGCCAGCCCACAGGCTGGATGTGTCAGGCGGAAGACGTGCCACCCCAGCTCCGGCAAGGGGAAAAGAGTTGCAATACATCGCAACATATCACGTGACGAGGCGAGTTTGACACCCCTGCCTTAAGACAAAAACCTAAAAACTTCATTAATTTAAATTTTGCTCATGTAGCCAATCAATCAATTCTTCAGCGATAAACTAATTTAGTTCCATTTTTGGTCATAAATGGAAAATGTTTGCTTTGACATAGTACTACACATAGTCATTTCTAACTGAACTGTTCTCCAGCATAGGAGATGGAGAATCCATCAATGGGTTAGCTCTGTCTTTCTGCCCATTAGACTAAGTCAGTCAAACTTCCCATGCCCGTCCTGAACCAGGACACTCCCAGTCTTGACTTAGTCTCCAGCCCAGACAGACGTGACAAGTTTGGCTCCCAGCTTAGTTGCAGGTAGTCCAGATCAACTCCATTGGTAGATTCTCATTTTATCTCCACAGTCTTCTCAGCAGCTGGGATCAGTGCTGCTTCAGTTTGACTGTTGGAGGCTTGAGCTCCTTCCCCAATCCTCAGCTTCCGTTCTCCTTTTCCCTCACAGGCTGCAGCACTGGGATCAGCGCTGCTTCAGCTTGCCTGTTGGAGGCTTGGGATCCTTCCCCAACCCTCAGCAAAGAGCGGAGGCTTCTGTCCTCCCTTTCCTTCCTGGGATCAGTGCTGCAGCCGGGAACCCCCTCAGCTTCCCTGCCTCTTCGAGGCCTCAGTTGCCTTCTTTTGCGGCCGGATCGTCGCGGCCGCCATTTTGGCAGCCGCGTGGTGAACTGCTGTGGCCGCTTCGACTCGTTTCGTGGGCGTGCAGCTTTCCACTTTAGGCTTTCTAGACCTGAGGTCTCACAGGTCTCTTGAACGTGGTGCAGGTTTTCACCTGCATATTTACCTGGTGCCCTGTCACAGCCTCGATCAGTGTGGCCGCCATTTTGAAAACCGTGTGGCTGTTGCTGCCGCCGTTTGATGGGAACTCAGCAGTGGGGGGGATTCATTTAATTATTCTTGCCTTCTCGGCAATCGAGGGACGATTGCCCGTTTGCCATCTGGACACACCAGGTTGTCCTTTTCTGTCTTGCTTGCCCTGCAGTTCCCACAGAGGAAACTGAAACATTCGCGGCTGCCATTTTGGACGGCCTGCATACCCGGGAGCCTATCTTTCCCAGGGTATCAGGCCCCAGTGGGCACAGAAGCTTTTTTTTTCCTGGCACACCCTTTACAACTATTGTCATGGGAGGCTTCTCTTATTTTAAATTAGACTCTATGCGTTTTGCAAAACACGCCAGCATATAAATATAGGTCTCAGATACAGGCCTCAAGCTGGTATCTCATCTCTCCACCTGGTCACCATTCAGCGGGCTGCGCGTGTACTGGCTGTCATCACACATGTGATTTTGCTGCCTCTGCACGGTCAACCCGCCGTGTGAAGGTGCTGACGCTCACCACCTCTGGCCTTGTCACCACCTAGCGCTCTACGAGCAAGCTGGCTGTCATCACATGTGTGATTTTGCCGCGGCCGTAGATACGACCGGCCCTCCAAGGGCAATCAACGGTCAGGTAACCAGGGGAGCAGGGTGGATCGAAGCATCCATCAGCTCCAGCTGTACTAGCCTAATGCGCCAAACGCCCTTGTCACAATTTATATTTGCCTCCATAGGCCTGAGTTCCCTCTCAGCACCACTTGAGATATCTTATCTCATGATGGAGGACACCGCGGTTCCCCAATCCCTAGTCAAAAGCGGCATAAATCCTCCAAACAGGAGGCGGCCAGCAAGATTAAGACCAAGGCAAAGACCATTTCGGGGAAGAAACCTTCCAAACTGGCGGAAAGGCAGGCTAGCAGGAGACACCAGGCTTTGGAGAGAGAATTTTCCAAAGCACAGAAGCAGGCCAGGGCTGAGTCGGAGCAGACAGAGACCTCGGTCTTTGACTTCCCACTGGGGCCTTCCACCTCTGCTCAGGGGGTTTCTCACATACATCCCTCCCTCTGGGGAGGTTCACAATCCAGACACCTACCCGGCATCAGTGACGCCCTGGGCCCCACAGTCGGGTCCAGAGGCCACTTACACTCCCACAGCTGCTGGGCTCAGGACAACTGAGCCTCCAGAAGCCCTTTCCACTGAGCACCTTCAGGCTCTAATTTCACAGGCAGTCGACCAGGCTCTCGCTACCAGGTCTTATCAGATGCCTAGGCCGGAGTCGGTTGCATCCATGACCCTATCATATTTTCTCCAGTCTGGAGCACCTGGGTACCGTGGTTCTCCCTCCCCGCCCTGATCCTCCCATAGTGGGGCCTCATCCCCTGTGGAGCACGATCAAACTGACATCCCATGGTCGGAGGAGGAGGACCCATCCCCCGACCATGGAGGACCCATCCCCCAACTTTTTGAAGTGTGCAAAAAGAAAGTATTTTTTGAGTTCTTATTGTACAGTAGATAACAAACCATAAAATTAGCCAATATTTTTAATACAGATCATTGTTTATTATTGATCTATATTTTGAGTTTTGCACTCTGTATCCTTTTATCACTGTTAATATTTTGATATATATCCAAAATATGCTTTAAGTATATGTTACAGGTTTTTTTTTTGTTTTTTTTTACCATTTTTACTTGGAGGGAGATAATGTTTGCATTTTTACAAGAAAACAGTTTTATTTGAGTGCCTCTCTCTAAATGTTCTTGACTACATGGACAATCATAAAGAAAATGACTATCATGTTAGTAGTTTAAAATACTATCACACTAAAGGCTGTGATTCTTAAACTGCAGGCCATCAAGTTATATTTAGAAATCTATTTTTCACTCAGAGCTTAGTTTGTATTGATTTTACCAAATTTTTTTTGTAAATATTAAGGTATAAACTTTTTAGTTTGATTCAGGAAATATTACTCTTGGTAGGCATACTGTAGGAGAAATTGATATTAGTATCTTTAATACACGCAGCTTTTTGAACAAGATATAATATTTAAGTTACCACAACATTAAGTTGTACACCACTGTTCGCCAGCTGCATTGAATTTTTCACTCAGATTCATAAATTGCACTGAGCTAAAATGAAAGTATGGCGAGCCCAAGTAGTGATTATAGTAGCATGAAAAAAGTAAACTATTGTATCTAATTTCTATGCCAAGAGCCATTTGTGTAACAAATGGAACCTCAACAAAATTTTGAATGTATCTTTATCTACTTGCAGAATTCTGTTCAGCATTCTGCTAGCCAACCAGATTATTATAAATTATGTAAACAGTTGACTTCATTCTTCACGTCTCAGTTGACTTTTTTCTGTTTTATTTTTTTCAAGTATGACTGAACATTGCGTGGTTCTGAAACTATTAAATACACACAATCTGTTAAACTTCTTTGACATGGTATAGTGTCTTTCTTTTGGATATAAAACATTTTATGATTCTACTTATGATTCTATTTGCTTCGATGTTTGCCCAAGTATGTTTGTTCTGCCCTTTTGTTTCTCTAGTTTTGTTTTGATTCCATATTTGATGTCACCTAATCATGTGAATTT